TATCCTCTTCTTAGATTGATCCCTTTATTGGTATGAAATTGCCTTCTTTGTCTATTGCTGCAGCCTTTGTTTTAATGCCTATTTTGTCTAATATAAGTATTGCTATTCCAGATTCTCTTTTATTTACATTTGCATGAAACATCTTTTTATTTCTTTACTTTTAATCTGTGTGAGTCTGTTGATGTTAGTTGGTTTCTTGTAAGCAGCAAATGAAGGGGTCTTTTTACAAGACCATTTAGCCAACCTATGTCTTTTGATTGAAGCATTTAGTCTATTGACATTTAAAGTAATTATTGATAGGTATGCTGTTGCTGCCATTTCATTAATTGTTTTCTGGTTGGTTTGGTAGTTCTTTTTTTCATTATTCTCTTACCTTCTTTTCTTGTATGTTGATGACTTCTATAGTGTTGTGTCTGTTTTCCTTTCTCTTTATTTATTTTATATGTCTGATAGATTTTTCTTGTATATGTCTGATAGTTATATCATATATACCACACTATGTTTACACAGTCTATTTTAACTTGATAGTTGCTTAAATCAGAACACATTCTAAAATCACTACAGCTTTTACCCACTACCTCCATGGTTGTTTTTGTCATTCTTTTTTACTTCTTATGTGTATATGTGTTTGTGTGTATCCCCTAGTTTATTGTAATTACACATGGTCTTCCTACTTTTGCCTTTTAATCTTTGTACTAGCTTATAGTTTGTGGGTTGATCCACAACCTTTTCTAAGTGTTTGCCTTTGTCAGTGAGAATTTTTTCTTTCCTATTTTTTTATTCATATTTTTGACCTATTCTTTTCTTCTTAAAGAAGTCCTTTGAACATATATTGTAATACTGGTTTAGTGGTGATCAACTCCTTGAGCCTTTTCTTGTCTGGGACACTATTCTCAAACCAAATGACAGCCTTGATGGGTAGAGTAATACTAGTTGTTTGTCATTGTTTGTCTTCACTTTGAATATTTCATGCCAATCCCTTTTAGCCTGCAATGTTTCTGATCAGAAATCAGCTGATAGCCTTATGGGGACTTCCATGTATGTAACTAACTGCTTTTTTCCTGCTGGTTTTAAGATTCTGTCTTTGTCTTTAACCTTTGGCATTTTGTTATTTTATTAAATTTATTGGGGTGACATTGGTTAATAAGATTATATAACTTTCAAATATTCACGTCTTTAATGCCTTATCTGTATATTGCATTGTGTGCTCACCACTTAAAGTTAAGTCTCCTCCATTACTATATATTTGAACCTCTTTATTCTCTTCAAGCTCCCCCCACCCTCCTTATCCTCTGGTAACCATGACACTGTTGTCTTTGTCCCTGGGGTTTTGTTTATTTCTTTTATTTGTTTGTTGCTTTCTGTTTTATCCCACATATGAGTGAATAATATGGTTCTTTATCTGTTCCATCTGACTTTTTCACTTATCAGGATACTCTCAAGATCCATCCATGTTGTAATATATGGCAGTATTTAATCATTTCTTATGACTGAGTAGTATTGCACTGTAATACAGACTACATCTTCTTTAGTTAATCATCTATCGAAGGACACAGGTTATTTCCATGTCTTAGCTATTGTGAATGATGCTACTGTAAACATAGGGGTACCTATATCTTTATGAATAAATGTTTTTGCCCTGACAGGTGTTGCTTAATTAGTTGGGTGTCGTTTCACAAAGCAAGAGATCATGGGTTCAGTTCCTGGTTAGGGCAAATGCCTGGGATGCGGTCCCATGTCAGAGCACATATGAGAGACACCCGACTAATGTTTCTCTCTTACATAGATATTTCTCTCCCTTTCTTTCTGCCTCCTCTCCCCTCTCTTTTCTTTATTTGTTAAAACAAACAAATAAATAAAATCTTTTAAAAATAAATAAATGGTTTCAAATTTCTCAGGTAGAAACCAACAAGAGGGAGTGCCAAGTCATTTGGTAGGTCTATTTTTTTTTTAAATTTTTTGTGGAACCTCCATATTGTTTTCCATGGTGGCTGTAGCAATTTACATTTCCACCAGCAGTCTATGAGAGTTTTTTTCCCCACATCCTCTCCAGCACTTGTTATTTTCTGTCCTGTTGATAATAGTCATTCTAAGAGGTTTGAGGTAGTATCACATGGTGGTTTTGTTTGCATTTCCGTTAGAGCTAGTGAAGTTGAGTATCTTTTCATACATCTGTTAACCATTCTTATGTCTTCTTGGAAAAAGTGTCTGTTCAGGTCCTGTGCCCATTTTTAATTGGATTTTTTGATGTAGAATTGTATGAGTTCTTTATATATTTTGGATATTAGCCCCTAACCAAAGGTATTGTTTGCAAATATCTTCTCCCATTAGCTTGGTTGCCTTTTTGTTTTGATTGGGTTTGGTTTTTTTTTTTTCTGTGTAGAAGCTTTTTAGTTTGATATAGTCCCATTCATTTATTTTTGCTTTTACTTCCCTTGCTTTTGAGTTTAAATCCATCAAGTCCTGTCTAAGATCAAGGTCCATAACTTTAGTACCTATATTTTGTTTTATGTACTTTATTATTTCGGGTCTTATATTTAGGTCGTTGATCCATTTTGAGTTAATTCTTGTATATGATGTCAAACAGCAGTCTTGTTTCATTTTTTTGTATATGGCTTTCCAATTTTCCCAGCACCATTTATTGAAGAGGGTTTATTTTCTTCCTTTTTTTTCTTTTTAAATCCTCACCTAACGACATGCTCATGGACTGCAGAGAGAGAGAGAGGAAGGGAGGGAGAATTTGAGGGAGAGAAGCATCGATGAGAGAGAAAAACATCAGTTGCTTCTCATACTTACCCCAATTGGTCGACTGAACCCACCACCTACCTATGTACCCTAACCAGGAATCAAACCTGTGACCTTTTGGTTTACGGGATGATACTCCAGCCAACGGAGCCACACTGGCCAGAGTGAAGAGGGTTCCTTTTCTCCATTATATGTTTTTGGCTCTTTTGTGGAAATTTACCCATATCCGTGTGGGTTTATTTCTGGCTCTCAATTATTTTCCATTGTTCGATGTATTTGGGTTTTTTTCCCCAACAACATATGTTTTTATTATTGTAGCTTTGTAGTATTGTTTAAAGTCAAAGAGTGTGATACCTCTGGCTTTGTTCATTTTTTCCTTAGAATTGCTTTGGCTATTCTAGGTCTTTTGCAGTTCCATACAAATTTGATATTTTTTTTGTTCTATTTCTTTAAAAAATGCTGTTGGGATTTTGATTGAAATAGCATTAAATTTCATTGTATATTGCTTTGGGTAATATGGCCATTTCATCTATGTTGACTTTTTCAATCCATGAACATGGAATATCTTTTCATTTCTTCAACTTTTTTCAATATTATGATGTACTTTACAGTGTATAAGTCATTCATACCCTTTGTTAAATTTATTCCTAGGTATTTTCATTCTTTTTATTGTAATTTCAAATGGAATTGTTTTATTTCCATTTCTTTTTCTAAAATTACATTGTTAGTATATAGGAAAACAATGGATTTTTGTACAATTGATTTTGTATCCTGCAACTTTACTGTATTTGTTTATTGTTTCTAATAGTTATTTGGTAGAGTCTTTGGGGTTTTCTATATAAAGAATCATGTCATCTGCAGGAAGTGACAACTTGACTTCTTTCTCAATATGGATGAAACTCATATAACTTGGTAAAAACTTGAACGCCAAACTCTCTCTCCTTAGGATTTCACAGGACCATTTCTGAAATATCAGCTCAGAACTTTCAGGATGACAACTGTTCTCTCAATTGCCACTGATCTCTTTGTAGTCAAGCTTGCACATGCAAGCCAAGTATTCTAAAATTTGCAGATTTGGATCTCTCCCCTCTGCGGCTTGCTCTTACAGGATTTCTTTCTCAATATTCTGCTATTTTGACAGCCCCAACCTCTTAGCCTTCCCAACCTAAGATTGTCCCTCTCCACTTGTTCTTTACTTCCCAAGCACCTCATTTACTAGGCAGTAGATTCAAGAGAATGTTTGCAAAAATGTGATGTTACCTATTATGCTGACCTTATTTCTAGGGTTTTATTTCTTCCTGTTCTATCTGCTTTTCTCTCCCTTTCAGTGCCTTCAAACAGTTGTTTTAATTGTTAATGTGAGAAGAGGGGCTGCAAGTTACTCTGATAGTACCATAAGCTCAGAATGTACACACAATTTTGTATCTTATCTTTTTAAATTAATATTTTCAGGTAAGTATTATTCAACCTATTAGTCTCCATAAATATCTCTAATAACTTAAGAATGCCCCAATGTGAGAATAATAATCATTTATTTGTATATTCTGTTATTTCAAGGAGTTATAGATTTGAACGCTAAGTAGAGAGCTACAGTAAACACTTTTCTGTATAAACATTTGTGAAATTTTCTAGTTGTTTGGGAGAGGTTTACAAGGGTTAAATTAATATAGATCATTAAGCCTTTGAATTTTTTCACCATTTAAAAATAATCCGTAGGTAACTTTATATATCATATTAACAGATGTCTAGCTTTCTAGTTTGGTACTATTAACAGTAGATGCCTGTAACAATTTGATAGAACACAAGTTATCACAAGGCATATGACAAATGTAAAGTCAGAGTTTTTGTTGCCTTTTTAAAAATCTCAAATTGACTTTGGTTTTCTTACACATTAATATATATTGAGTTTCTTAAATATATTAACACACTGAAACAGAATAAAAGAATGCTAATTTTTCCCCTTTTTTCTATGATAAAATAACTTATTATTTTCAAGTAATACACTAGACTTTCTTATGGTATTTTTAAATTTCAAAATACTGTCTCTTTGAGTGTGATCACAGATAGATTCACTATTTATAAAAATGATAGCAAAATCTGGGCAAAGATTTCTTTGTTCCCTAACTTACTTCATTTTCAGCTTGCCTCAGGTATGATAATAATTTTAATTTCTTAGAAATATTATAATTATGTTTTCAAATGATATTTCCTATTCTAATTAAAATCTTTTAACTTGTGTTTTCTTTAAGCAAAGAGAAAATAATGTCCGTTGTTTATCTATGCTTGGTCATTTTGGTTTTGAATGTTTGCCTCATCAGTTGGTGAACAGAGCTATTCAAAAAGGATTTTCTTTTAATATTCTCTGTGTGGGTAAGTGCCATACTTCTCTGGATTACTGCTTAATTTTTCCAAATGCTCATTTCAACTTATTTTCAGCAGTGAAAAATTGTTAATTCAAGAACATATTTTCATGTATATATTAGTTTCAATCTTCTTAGCCCTATTCCTTAAACACTTTTTCTTTAAATGTTTCATTACTCTTCAAAATCTGATACAATTTTGTGTATATTTTCTTTCTCTATTATGTTAATGGCTGAAGGTGTCAGGGGTAGCGTGTATATTTTCAAGGATGGCTAGCTTTGAAGTATTTGAGGCCCTTTAAACCACTCTAGGGGTTAGAGTGTTACTTTTTCTCAGCCATCCTATGCCTCTATATGATGTTTATATGTTTATTATAGGGGAAACTGGACTTGGAAAATCAACACTGATTGACACATTGTTTAACACTAATTTGAAAGAAAAAAAATCTTCACATTTTAACTCAAATGTTGAACTTAAAATTCAGACATATGAACTCCAGGAAAGCAATGTGCAGTTGAAATTAACTGTTGTGAAAACAGTGGGATATGGTGATCAAATGAACAGAGAAGGCAGGTTAGTGTTTTCTTATTTTAATTAAAAGTGTTTCTTATTTCCAGGAATTTGCCTTCTTTCTCCATGCCCTGAATTATAATGTTCTCCTAAGGAAATCGAAACATTTCCTCCCAGATTTTAATTCTTGCTAACTAAATAATGTTCTCTTCTTATTATAAAATTAATATTTTGTATCCAACTGTCTGATTTTTAAAATATTTTTATCTTTTTAAATTTTTATTGTTGTTCAAGTACCGTTGTCTCCGTTTCCCCGCCACCACTTTCCCCTGCCCCGCCCTCAGTCCTCCCCTCCTTCGGCTTTGTCCGTAGGTCCTTTATACATGTTCCTTGACGACCCTTGATTTCCTTACAATATTTTTAAATTACAGCAAAAATGTATTTATGCAGTTTCTATTAGTTCTAGCTTATTTCCTTATTTCTCCTCTGGTATTATGATGACATTTCATAGTTCCTTTATCAGATTTAAACTGTGTGAAAGGGAAATAAATTAAACAAAGCAATAGCTCTAGATTTGTGCTTCTTTTTGGAATAGATGCATATTCAGTATTATATGTTACAGTTCTAGTTAGTTAAAGTTAGTTACATAACAGTGAATATATTTTTCATATATTGACTTGTTTTGTGTGACTTAATTTAGTTATATGCAGGGGTGTGCTGAAGCTAGCTCAGAGAAACTTGTAAGAGTGCATTGTACTAATCTTTTGTCAATTGTACATTCAATGACATCATTCAGGGAGCTTGAAATAGGCCAGGCGAGAGTATTCACACCTTAAATATCAGTAAATGCTGCAAATCATTTTATTTTCCTTCCAGAGAACCACACTTTAAACATTCACCAGAGGACCACTGGATAAAGACAGACTTTAAACAAATACTCATGTTCTAATTTAAACATGAAAATAATTTGTGTGAAATTTATAAAAACAATATACAGTAGAAAATGTGTATCACCATAGACCTAATAGTCTATACTTCTGAAAATATTTTTTTAAATATAAAATTAAGTTTAGAGTCAATATGCTTAATGTATGGTATATATTTTTGTGTGTTGTAGAATAAGACCACAATAGGTGATGCTTCCTGTATTAATTTCTTGAGTTTACCATACCAAATTACCATAAACTGGGTGGTTTAGATCAGCAGCAACTTATTCTATCACAGTTGAGGAGGCCAAAAGTCCAAAATCAAGGTGTTGGCAAGGCCACACTCTATCAGGAGGCACTAGGGGAGAATATTTTCTCGCTTTTGTAAACTTCTGTTACCTTTTGGCATTTCCTATGGCTACATCAACCCCAATATCTCACTTCACCTTCCTGTGTCCTTCTCTGCTTTTCATGCATCTGTTTTAAGGACATTTGTTGTTGGATTTAAAGTGAATCCAGATAATCAAGGATAATCTCATATTGAGTCTACAAAGACCCTTTTTTTTTCTTCTTCAAATAAGACCACATTTACTAATTCCAGGAATTAGAATGCAGACATATCCTTTTGGGGAATCATCATTTAAAAAATTTTACTTATTTTTTTAGAGAGAGAGGGAGGGTGGGAGAAAGAGAAGGAGAAAAATATTGATGTGAGTGAGAAACATCAATTGGTTGCCTCTTGTATGCACTCGTGGAACTGAACCCACAACCCAGGCATGTGCCCTGACCAGGAATTGAACCACCAACCTTTTGCTTGGTGAGATGATGCCCAACTGAGCCATACCAGTCAGGGCAGTTTCTTAAATATTTTTAAAATTGATGTTCCCCATTTACTTACTTGTTGGATTGCTTGTTTTCTATTAATTATCCAGTTCATAAATGAATTTATTTCTGTGAAAATTTCAAATAATCCAGGTGAAATGAAAACCCCATTAGCCAAACTTAAGAATTTTGCATCATTTATTATGAGTTTAGTAGGTGCCCTCTCAAAAATCATCCTTTATACAGTTATTACATTTTATAATAATTGAAATGCATTTGTAATACTACAGAACAAATTTCCTTAAAATATGTCATATATAGTAGAAAATGCATAAAATGTTTATGGACAAGTTAATAGATAATTTTACAATGATGCCTTTCTATTCAAGTTATGACCTGCTCCCCACAGACTTCAAACACTTCTGTTTTCTCATTATAACCCTTAGTCAAACTCATAGAAGCAGAGTGTAAATTGTTGCCAGTGGTTGGAGGAAGGAAAAATGGGGAGTTGCTGTTCAATGAGTAAAAATTTTCAGTTGTGCAATATTATTAAGATAGTGCCTATATTTAATAGCACTTTATTTTGAATTTAAATGTTTGTTATGAAGGTAGATCTCATGTTAAATGTTCTTACCACAATTAAAAAAATTATAAAATCCTGCAAAAGTATTGCTGAGCAGGAAATTTATAGCACAAAATCCTTATATTAGAAAAAAGAAAAAGCTAAAAATCAATAATGTAAAGTTCCATGTTAAGCCATGAGACAAATAAGAAAAAATTGAACCTAAAGTAGGAAAACAAAAAGAAAAACTATGGTAGAACAGAAATTGATGAAAAGAGACAAAGGTCAGATAATCAATAAAACTAAAAGCCTATTATTTTGAAAAGATCAATAACATAAAAAAAATCTATTTTACTTGCCAGACTGAGCAAGCAATATAAGTGAAAAGGCAAACACTGCCAATATCAGGAATAAAAGCAGAGATATTATCACTGCTCTGAGAACTATTGAAAGGATAAGAAGAGTACTACAAACAGTTTATTGCTTATAAATGTAACAATTTAGATGCTAGCTGTGGACTTTTCATATGTGGTCTTTATTGTGTTGTGATAAATTTCTTCTATACCTAGTTTCAAGAGTTCTTTTAAATCATGAAATGGTATTACATTTTGTTAAATGCTTTTTCTGTGTATATTGAGGTGGTCATGTGATTTTTATTCTTCATCTATTAACATGGTATGCCACATTAATTTATTTGATTATTTTGAACCACCCTTGCATTTTGGGGATTAATTCCACTTGCTCATGGTATATGATCCTGTTCATGTAATGTTGAATTAAATTTGCTAGTATTTTGTTGAAGATTTTTGCATCTAAATTTATCCAGAACATTGGCCTGTGGTTTTTCCCTTGTGGAGTCTTCGTCTGTCTTTGGTATCAGGTGTAGTTCTGACCACTCAAAATGAGTTTGGAAATGTTCCCTATTCTTGAGCTTTTTGGAAGAGTTTAAGAAGTATTGGTATTAATTCTTTAAATGTTTGTTAGAATTCAATACTATAGCTCTTCTGTCCTGGGCTTTTTGTTATTGGTAGACATTTGTTGCTGTTTTTGTTACTGACTCAATCTTACTCATTATTGATCTACCTAGACTTTCTATGGTTTTCACAAGTCAGTCTTGGTAGATTGTGTGTTTATAGGTATTTCTTTCTTATAGATTATCTAATTTGTTGCCATTGTATAATTTTTCACAAGAGTATTTTATGGTGTTTTTTATTTTTGTGGCATTAGTTTTAAGGTTTCCACCTTTTATAATTTTATTTAGTTGTCTAGGTAATCGTTTGTCAACTTTGTTTATTGAGCTGCCTCTTAGCTTTGTTGATGCTCCCTATTGTTTTGCTATTCTCTGTTTCATTTATGTCTGCTCTAATCTTTATTTCATTCTTTCTCTAAATTTGGGCTTAGTTTGCTATTCTTTTTCTTCTTCTTTGAGGTTAAAAGTTAGGATGTTTAATTGAGATCTTTCTTTTTTTAAAAAAAATCTAGGCATTTATCACTGTAAAATTCCTTCTATTTACCACTTTTGCTGTTCCCAGTGTTTTGGTATGTTATGAATTTTTGTTGTTGTTTTGTTTCTGTGGAGATATTTTCTAATTTATGTTTTGACTATTTCTTTGACCCAAGATTGTTTATGAGTGTGTTTTTAAATTTTCCCAGTTTGTGAATTTTCTAATTTTCCTTCTGTTATTGACTTCTAGTTTTATTCCATTGTAATCAGAAATGATACATGGTATAATTTCAGTCTTCTAAAATTTGTTAAGACTATTTGTAGGCTCACATATTCTGCTGCTGTTGGGTGTAATATTCTGTACATATCTGTTAGGTTCATTTGTAATAAAATGCTGCTCGGTTCAGCTATTTCCTTATTGATTTTCTGTCAGAATGTTCTACCTATTGTTGAAAGTAGGTATTGAAATCTCTTACTGTTTTCATGTTGCTAGGTACTATTCTCCTCAGTTCTGTGAATTTTTGCTTTTTTGTATTTAGATGCTCCATTGTTGAGTGTGTGTGTATGTATATATTTGTCTTCATAATGAATAGATCCTTTCATCATTATAAAATATCCTAGTCCCTTTTGACAATGTTGACTTAAATCCTATTTTGACTGGTATAAGTATAGCCACCCCTGCTTTCTTGGTTTTACCATTTGTGTGGATTATCTTTTTCATATCTTAACTCTTTTCCTATGTGGTCTTGATTCTAAAGTGGTTATATTCTAGACAGCATGTGGTTGGATACACGCACACACACACATATTTTAAATTCATTTAGCCACTCTATGTTTTTTAATTGGACACTTTAAACCATTAAATTAATTACTATATGTGGCACATAATATATATAAAATATTGTAATACACATAAGTAATCATTAATACGTAATGACTTACTATTGTTATTTTGTTAAATGTTTTCTATCTTGTAATTCTTTTGTTCCTATTTTCCTTTCTCTTTTCATTCCTTTATATTTTGTTGACTTTTTGTAGTGACATGTTTTATTCCTTTGTCTTTTTTCTTTTAAGTATCTTCATAGGGATTTTCTTTGTGGTTTGCGAGGCACTTACTTTCTCCCCTGTGGAGAGGTTGCTGCCAGCTATTTTAGTGCAGGCTGTGCCTTGAGGGAAGGCAGATGCTGGCCAAGTTCCTCTTACCTTCTCCAATGCATCCAAATTTGTTCTTTTTTTTTTTTTTCTATGCTCCAGTGGACTCTCCCATCTTGATTGCTGAACCTCTGTAAATGTTTTTTATCTGTTGGTGTATGCTCAAATAAACACTGTCCAGTTTTTCCCTTACTGCATAAATGAGGAGTTGGGGCACGTTTGCTTGTTTGTGCTGGATTCTGCTGGTTCCACAGCTTGTAGGGACGTGTGTCTGCCTATTTCCAGATATGCAGTTGGGCAAAACTCCTCCTGGTTCCCTGGCAGATGGTGCTGGGTTCCACAGATCCCACAGAGGTACCTTTCTTAGTAGAGAGATCAGATTTATAGTTGTTAAAAAACCAGGGGAGTATTCATTGCCACAATTATGATGTCACTCTTTTGAAATTTTACACACTATAAAACTTACTTCTATGGTGTATATTTCTGCAGGTTTTTTAAAAAATTGAACTAATTAGGGTGACATTTGTTAATAAAACCATAGAGGTTTCAAGTGTAGGTTTTTAAGTTGCATGGAGTTATATATCCACCATCTCAGTTGTGATATAGAAAAGTTCTATCACATTAAAAAAATTCTCTTGTGCTTTAGTCTATCTATTCTTGTGCTGCTACCATACTGTATTATTTTAACTTCATAATGAGACCTGACATATGAAGAATATATCTCCTTGGTTTTCTTCAATATGTCTTGAGCACTCTTGATCCTTTGTACTTCTATATACATATACATATTAAAAATTTGTTTATGATTGGGATTGCATTGAGTTGAAAGATCATTTTGCCACTTCTATAAATAATGTAAACCATGGGCCTCTATTGGTTTGTAATTGTTATCTTTGTAAGAACATGTTATGTACATTTTTATATGACAAATTATGAGTATGCATATTAACTATTCATTAAATGGTAAAAATGTAGACTTCAGTGTTATTACTATGTTGTACTAAATGTTTTTCAGCTACCAACCAATAGTTAGCTACTTAGATGCTCAATTTGAGGCCTATTTTCAAGAAGAATTGAAAATACAACGTTCCTTTGTTGACTACCATGATTCCCGTATCCACGTGTGCCTTTACTTCATTTCACCTACAGGACATTCTCTGAAGGCCCTTGATCTATTAACCTTGAAGAGCATCGACAATAAGGTGTGTTTGGTAAACCCATAAACCCTCAAGATTTAATCATTATTTTGAGATAATACACCCCTTGAAGGCATTCTCATACAATAACTTATTTTGTAATATGTGTACAGTATATATATTTCTTGTGTTAATTTTTAAAACATTTCTGTTAGCTTCCTAAGAATACCACTGTAAAATAGCACAGACTTAAGGGTTTTAAACAATAGAAATTAAATTTCTCATAGTTCTCAAGGCTAGAAGTTCAAGGTCAAGTTGTTGCCAAACTTTGTTTCTTCAGAAATTTTTCCTTTTGGGTGGCAGATGGCTGCCCTCTCACTGTGTTCTCACATGACCTTTCCTTTATGGACACATCCATCTGATGTTTCTTTTTGTGTCCAAGTTTCCCCTTCTTATAAGGACACCAGTAGGACAGGATTAGGGCCCATCTAATGGCCTCATTTTAACTTACTCACCTCTTTAAAGATTATATTTCCAAACACAGCCACATTTGAAGATATTGAAGATTGGGGCTTCAGCATCTATATGGGGATGGGGAGAAACATATTCAGCCCATAAACAGCATTTGATAAATTTCAACTTTGCTTTCTAGAGAAATTTAATTAGAAAATGCATCAGGATAATGAAGTGCAGGTAAAATAAAAATTCAGTTTTTCTTGTGATTACATGATAATTCAGATTGTGATTCAGATTTGCCCATATTTTTGAAATTGAAATTACTCTGTGATATTATAAGATAATTCCATTAACATTTATCTGGTATCACTGATGTTTTAAAACACAAAGATTTCATGACCCTGGCTGCTGGTCCTATCAAACAGGATGCAGAATGCAATATGTATTTTTTTTCTAACGGAGAGTCAAATTACATTTGAAAGAAACTTATGAGATTCTTTTCTGCATTCAACCCTGATGAAAGATAATGTTTTCAACTTTACCAAGTTGAAGAGAGAAACAGTTTCGAAGTTTTTTTAATCAAAAAAGGCCTGACTTTTGCTATGTATTGTTCACACTAGAAAGAAATTTTGTAGTTAATCTCATATATCACTAAGTAGTTTAAAGAAGTTGTATTTTAGTTAAAATTAAAAGCTACCTTAATTTCTCAGTTTGTAGAATATTCAATAAGTGGGGACACACAGTTTTATTTTTCATTTTAAAGGCATCTGTAATCATCAAGCTATTTCCAGATGCAGGAAACTGCTCATTTTGCAAAGACCGTTACATAAAGGGGCGGGCAAGTGAGCATGCGCGCCTGTCATCTTCTCTTCCAGGCTGATCCCCTCCTTTTCAATGTGACTTTTGTTCCTTAAACCTGAAGACCTGAGGAATTATCAACCTAGAACATTTTCATTTTTTTATGTTTAATGATATACTATCACTGGAGGGTATCTTTCCTTAGCTTTGACACTAATACAACCCAATACAGCTATTTAGCAGCTGTTGGCTTTTTACTGTGGAAGCTATTGTTTAAAATTATTAAATTAGACAAAATTTTGAATATCTATGTTATAACAGTGAAGCCTTAGATTTGAACAAGGTTTTTTTTTAGAAAATGTACTTTGAAGAATCTAAAACTAAAGCAATATATTCAAAACTGACTTTTATACATTCTTATTATATCACAGAACTTGAGATTGTATAGTTATGCTTTAACAAAGTTTCTTATTGTAATTATAATAAAGCATTTTAGAATTTTGTATATTGTTATTTTCTGCAGAGTTTAATTATTAAAATGTAAATACAAGGAGACAAGAAAAATTATATTTTAGAACTAGGAAGAAAATATTATTAATAAATTTCAACCTCAACTCTGCTATATGAAAATAATTCCTTTTTACAAGTTACAAATCAACACTTTTTCGCAAGGTGCCATATCCATGCCTACACATGTTCTGCAGTTAGAGTAAAGTAACAAAAGAAGTCTAGAAACATAAACAAATCTATCTGCAAAGACATATAGGTAGCAAAGGATCTATTCAACTGCAGCATTAAGATGAATTTATTAAGATGATGCAAGTGAATAAAAGGTAGAGGACAAATTGTTTTGTAGTTTTGATAAAAGGTCTCTTCTGCTTTTTAGCACCCAGTTAAATAAATCAAATGGTTAATGAGTTAAGTAGACTACGTTATCTTACCACTTACATTTTACTAACTCCTGATGTGTTAAAAATATAATGAAGTTTACTGTCAGTTTGTTCTTTCTTTCTATGTTTCTGCTTCTATTTTGTTTGCTTGTTTATTTTGTTGATTATGTTCCACTTATAGATGAGATCATATATTTGTCTTCCACTGCCTGGCTTTTTTCATTTAGCATAATACTCTCCAGATCCATCTATGCTGTTGTGAAGGGTAGACGCTCCTTCTTTCTTTCTGCTGCGTAGTATTCCATTGTATAAATGTACCAGAGGTGGGGGAAGGGGAATAATGAGGAAAGAAGGGGAAGAATCAAGTCAAAGAACATGTATAAAGGACCCAAGGACAAAGGCAATGGGGGGAATTGAATGTAGGATATGGAATTGGGCAGGGTAGGGGAGAGTAATGGGGGGGGATGGGGACAACTATAATTGAACCACAATAAAATAATATATTGGTACCTCAAGAGGTTCCTACAAGATAAAATCAGAATCGAAATTTCCATTTGGTAAGGAATAAGCTGTGTTCTACCTTCTTTGGCTGGCTCAATGAGATTGTTTGAAGCTGTGAATTTTGAAGGGTGTGTATAGATCTATTCTAATTCAATCTTGCAAGTAAGGTTGAAATGATGATATTGTTTGGATTGCATGCCACAAACTTACAAAAACCTTTTAGAATGAGTATTTTTCCTATAAGTGACAAGAAAATCTGATTAGTACATTCCCACACTTTTAAATTTTCCTATAGGTCTTTATTAATAATGATTATCCTTTCTATGAAAGTTCAGTGCAAATGTTTGTTAATTAGTTTTTTCCTTTTTACTAACAGCTAAGCAAGTTATTGAAAGTAGTGTATATAACCTAATACACAAATGCAACCACATGAGGACAGTGTCTTATATATATTTCCTTACTGATAACCACTACTATTTTTTCAGTAGGTGAATTTATATACTTGTCCTCTAAAAATTACAGGGAATAAGCATGTAGGCATGAAAATGTAATTTAATATGAATTTGTGTTTTTATCTTCAGCTTATACAATTGCTCTACTAGTGTGACTTCCATGGTGAATACAAACACAAGAGCAAATGACTGATTTTAGTAAAATGTAACAAAGATTTATGAGTTGGTCATAGAGCTAACAACTGATCTTACCTATACAACTGGTTTAACTTTACACACTAAACAGAAAGGATAGCAAAATAAGTTTCATTAAGCTCATTTAATAGATTCCTCTTGTGTTCTGAAAAAAAAGAAATAGTCCTGGCTGGTGTGGCTCAGTGGATTGAGTGCTGGCCTACAAACCAAAGGGTCACCAGTTCGATTCTCAGTCAGGGCACATGCCTGGGTTGCAGGCCTGATCCCTGGTGACGGGCACACGAGATGCAACCACACATTGATGTTCCTCTCCATCTCTTTCTCCCTCCCTTCCCCTCTCTCCAAAAATAAAAAAAAAAAAATCTTTAAAAAAAAGAAATATAAGAAAGTTTGAAAAGGAACAAAAATTAAGACTTCTAAACCTGAACTCTCATAAAAATTTATCTTCAAAAGTACTGAGTATTTTGGAAAGCAGTTTTGTGAGGAAGGCGTGATAGTAAATGATTATCTAGAAACAAATATTTGTCAAATATTGTGAGGTTTTGACTGTTATAATCTCAGGATCAACAATGAATCCTCAATGGTAAGATTTTGTTTCCTTCTTTCTTAATAGGTGAATGTTATACCACTGATTGCCAAAGCTGATGCAATTTCTAAGAATGATTTACAGAAATTTAAGTGTACGATAATGAATGAATTGATTAATAATGGCATCCAGATATATCAGTTCCCAACCGATGACGAAAGTACTGCTCAAATGAATTCCTCAATGAATGTAAGATTCTATTGTGTATTCATTCTATTTTACATGTGGGAATCAAATATAATTTATAAGTCACAATATTAGTAATATACTGTCACTTGTATCTGATCAAAAAGCTATAAATATGGTTTTTCCCCTCAGATCCAATGTAGAAAATGTTTTATTTTTTTTGATTTTGAAAGGTGTTCACTGAGAATCCATTCTATTTTTTAACAGCTTTTTTGAGATATGTTACATACTTATGATTCACCCATTAAAGTATACAATTCAATAATTTTTAGTCTATTTACAGATGTGTGCAACCATCACCACAGTCAATTTTAGAACATGTTTATCATCTCAAAATTAAACCCTGTATCTTCAGCTCCTGTTCCCTGCTACCTGTGAGTCCTCTCCATCAGCCCTAGGCACCTACTAATCGAGTTCTTTCTCTGTTGATTTCTCTGATCTGAGCATATAATATGAATGGAATTATATGATATTTGATCTTTTCATATGCTTGTTGGCTATTAGCATATCTTCCTAGGATATATGTTTACTCAGATCCTTCTCTCTTTTTTAAATTGTGCTTTTGCCTTTTTATTGTTGAGTTATAAGAGTTCTTTATATATTATGGATGCAAGTTCCTTATGACATAAAAGATTTGCAAATATTTTTTTTCCCAATCTGTTAGTCATCTTTTCTTTTGGTGTCCATTGAAACACAAAATTTTAAAATTCTTATGAAGTCTAATTTATATTTTTTGTTGCTTGTGATTTTGGTGTCATAGCTAAGGATATTTTGCCAAATCCATGATAATAAAGATTTACTTATATGTCACCCTGGCCAGGTAACGCAGTTAGAACATCATCCTGATATGCCAACATTGGAAGTTTGATTCCCAGTCAAGGCACATAAAGAGTCAACCAATGAGTACTTGAATGGGTAGAATGACAAATTGATGTTTCTCTCTCTCTCTTTCTCAAATCAATAAAAAAATTTTTTTAAAAGATTTACTTACATGTCATCTTCTATGAGTTTTTAAAATTGTGGTAAAGTCCACATAACAGGAAATTTATCATCTTAAATATTTTAAAGTGTACAGTTGAGTGGTATTATACATTCACATTGTTGTGCAATGATCATTTTCATCTAACAAAACTGAAACTCTGTATCTAGGATTCCTGGTTAACAAGTTTTTTTTTTGTTTGTTTTTGTTTTTCCCTCCTTGAACACTGAATATGTTATCTCATGGCTTTCTGGCTTCCATGTTTCTGTTGAAAAGTCAGCTATTAATTTTATTGGGGTTTCCAAGTAATTAATTAGTTTTTTTCTCTTGTTGACAATCTGCATTTTTACAATGATGTGTCTGTTGGTGAAGCTCTTTGCATTTATCTTGATGTTGGTTTTAATTTTGGATGTGCAAGTTATTGTTTTTCAATAAATACTGGAAGTTTTCAGCCAACATGTCTGAGTATTTTTTCTTCTCCTTCCTCTCTTTCCTCCTCTTCTGGTAGTCCCATTACCTGGATGTTGATGCACCTAATGGTGCTCACATTTCTCTAAGATCCTCTTCAATTTTTTCTTGTTTCATTCTTTTCTTGCATGATCTCTATCTTTATGTTTAATTTTTCCTCTGCCAGATCAGATAAACTTCGGAGCCCCACTACTAAATTTTTTGTTTTCCATCATTGTACTTTTTAAATACAGAATTACAATTTGGTTTTTTAAAAATTTATGTATTTCTTTTTAAAAAATTTTTTCACATACATTTGTCTCCATTTACCCGCCACCTCCTTCCCCTGCCACACCCACCTGCACCTCAGCCCCTCAATCCTTCCCCAGATTGGCTTTGTCCATGTGTCCTTCACACCTGTTCCTTGATCTGACCCTTCCCCTTCCCCTCCCTGCTACCCGCCTCCCTCCCTCCCTCCCGTCCCCATCAGTTTCTTCTTTTTTTCAATGTTGCTGGTCATATTTTCCTTGCCTACTTGCTTTGCAATTTGTTTTTTTTAATAATTTCTATTTCTTTATTAGTATTTTTTGTTATATGCAACATTGTCATCACACTTTCCTTTACTTATTTTTATCCCTGAGTATATATATACATGTATTTATTGTAGTCATTCAACTTTTTAAACTAAGAACAGCTATTGATATTTAGTATTTACAACTTTATGTTTTTGGAGATACGTATGTATGTATCACAACAATCAATCATATAAACTTATCTGACACCTCCAAAAGTCTCCTCTTGCTCCCTCTATTTTTTAACTTTTGTGGCAAGAACACATTCAACTCTTTGCTTCTATGTGTTTGAGGATTTTATTTTTAAAAATATTTTATTTTTTTATTTTGAGAGAGAGAGGAAGGGAGTAAGAGAGGGAGAGAAATGTCTGTGTGTGTTTGCCTCTCACACACCCCCTACTGGGGACCTGACCTGCAATCCAAGCATGTGCCCTGGCTGGGAATTGAACTGGCGACCCTTTGGTTCGCAGGCCGACACTCAACCCACAGAGCCACAGCAGCCAGAACTATGTGTTTGACAATTTCAGATTCCAGATATAAGTGAGATCATGCAGTATTTGTATTTCTGTGTCTGTTTTATTTCATTTAGCATAATGTCACTAATGGTAGGCTATTCCTGCTTTTTAAAATTTTATTTTATTTTTTTGTTGTTGACACTATTACAGGTGTTTCCTGTTTTCTCCCCTTGTACCCCTCCTCTGCCCAGTCCCCACACCACCCCCCAAGCCTTCACCATATTGTTGTCTGTATTGCTGGGCTATGCATATATGCATATATGTTCTTTGGCTAATCTATTCCAGACCCCCTCACCCCCACCCTCCGGAGATCTGTCAATCTGTTCCATGTATCCATGACTCTTGCTTATTTGTTCATCAGTTTATACTGTTCATTAGATCCCACATATGAGTGAGATCATATTGTATTGGCCCTTCTCTGACTTTTATTTTGCTTAGCAAAATAATCTCTGAAACACCAGTCAGAAAGAATATAAGCACCCCAATGTTCATATGTTCAGGCAGTGTTATTTCCAATAGCCAAGATCTGGAAACAGCCCAGGGGCCCATCAGTAGATGAGTGGATAAAAAAGATGTGGTACATTTACACAATGGAATACTACATGGGTGTAAAAAAAAACAGAGATGGTTTTCTCTTTCTCAGTAGGTTGAATAATATTAAATTGTATGCGTACACCATATTTTTTACTTGCTCATCTACAGATGGACATTTAGATTGTTTGCATATCTTGACTACTTTGAATAATCTTGCAATGAATATGGGAGTGTAGATAGGTCTTTGAGATCCAGAAATCAATTATTTTGGATACCCAGGAGTAGGACTGCTGGATTAAATTGTAATTTTATTTTTAATTTTTTTGAGGAACTTCCATACTGTCTTCATGGTGGCTACACTCATTTACATTCCAATCAACAGAACACAAACTCCTCTTTTCTCCACATTCTTGCCATCAGTTATTGTTTTTTTGTGTTTTTTTCATAATAACCACATTAGTATAAGTAAGGTGAAAAATCATTATGGTTTTGATTTGCATTTCCCAGGTAGTTAGTAATGTTCAACACCTTTTCATATACCAATTGACCACTTGTATGTCTTCTTTGAAGAAGTGTTTATGCAGACCTCTGGCCCATCTTTATGATTGTTTAGTTGTTTTCTTGCTGTTAAGTTAAGGGAGTTTCTTACATATTTTGGGTATTTACCATTTGTCATATATATTGTCTGAAAATATTTACTTCCAATCTGTATGTTTTCTTTACATTTGTTGATTATTTTCTTTGTTTTGTAAAAGATTTTTAATTTGATGTAGTCACACTATTTTTGCTTTGGTTACCTGTGTTTTTGGTGTCATAGCCAAGAGATAATTGCGCAGTCCAGTGTCTAGAAAACTTTTCTTCTTGTTTTCTTCTAAGAGTTTGATTGGTTTTATATTTGATTTTAATACATTTTAAATTGTTTATTGTATATGGTGTGATAGAAAGGTCCAAAATCATTCTTTTGCATGTGGATATCCAAATTTCCTATCAGCACTTATTGAAGAGACATTTTCTTTCTTTTCTTTTTTCTTCTTCTTTTTTCTATAAGATACTTTTTCTATAAGATACTTTTTCTATCTTTTTTTTCCATGTTATATTCTTGGCACTCTGTCAAAAATCAGTTGACAGCATTTGTGTTGTTTTATATTTGGGTTCACTGTTCTTGACAGTGGTCCCTATTTCTGTTTTTATGTTAATACCATATTGTTTTGATTACTTTTGCTTTGTAACATGTTTTGAATTTAGGGAATATGATACCTCCAGTTTTGTTCTTTCACAATATTTCTTTAAGTATTTATTGTCTTTTGAAATTCCTAATGAATTTTAAGTTGTCTCTTTTTTATTTCTGTGAAATAGTCCATTGAGATTTTTATAGAGATTGCACTGAATCTATAGAAAACTTTGGAAAGTATGGACATTTTAATATTAATTCTTCTAATCCATGGACATGGGAAGCCCTTCTATTTATTTGCCTTTTAAAGTTTTTTCCTCAATGTTTTGTAGTTTCTCTGTATGTCTTTTATCTCCTTAAGTTTATTCCTAACTGTACCTTTGATTTTGTTGTAAATGGAATTGCTTTCTTAATTACCTTTTTGGATAGGTTGTTTTGAGTGTATACAAATGCAACTAATTTTTGTATGTCAATTTGGCGTCTTGCTACTCTACTGCATTTGCTCATTCTAAAAGTTATTTTGTGGAGTCTTTAAGATTTTCTACATGTTTAAACAGAGATAGTTTTTCTTTCTGATTTGAAGGAGTTTTTTTTTCTTGCCTAATTGTTCTGTCTAGGATTTCCAATAATATGTTAAATAGGATAAATGAAAGCAGGCACCTGCCTTGTTCTGGTAGTTAAAGGAAAGCTTTCATCTTTTCATCATTGAATATAATGTTAGCTATAGGCCCTTCATAAATAAACTTATTGCATATAGGTAATTTCCTTCTATGTTTAATTTATTG